AAATAGAAAGTTTTGAGCAGTTGTTTAAATATTGCAGACTAACAATAAACCAATATCGGTATAGCAATCAAGTAGTGATGTTACTTTTGATACTTTATCGGATCCTGAAAAACAATGGTGTTCAATTATAGTATCATATTTGACACTACAAATAATTTTTAAAAATTACTACATTTTGAAAATTTAAACTGCTATCTAAATAAGTAAATAAATAAAAATTACTCTGTATTTGCAGTATCATGGTTGAAGCTCAGGGATGTCGCACATTGTATGCTCGCAATAACCAGTCTGCGACTCCATTTCGTCTTATGGTAAATCTGAAAAAGTTACAACTAAATTGAATCAAAATTTTCTAGTAAATATATCAAACAAAAGTTTATAAAAACTGCATAATAATTTTTTCTACAAAGTGGTTACATAGAATAATAATTAAAAAATTGAACTTTTAGGCGTGGGTACAGGACAACGTCTGTCGGGTCATCTAGTATATATATATATATATATATTTATATATATATATATTAGCAAACAAAACTAGCATTGCATGCAACGCTTGATCACGAGACAAATTATGCAAACAAATTATCTGTCTAATGTTAAAAATAAAATACACCACAGGTGTGGGAAAGTTGCCAAAAAAATCGTTCAACTAATAATTTTTTGTATTATCCTCAATATAATATAATATATATATATATATATATATATATGTATATATATATATATATATATATATATATATAAATAGATTGTTTTTATTCGCTTGTAGAATCTGAATGAAAAATTTACTCCTATTCACGTTTCAAGAAACTCCTTACTTTGTGGATTTAGAACTTACAGTAACTAAAAATAGGTTTTTACATAACTAACAAAAAAATGTATATCATTTTTAGGAATAAACTTGATCGATTCTTTTTTGAAAGAAACATTTGAAATTTAAGATAAATCTTAAAAAGCTATTTGAATTATTATGGTATGATAAATTTTAAAGTTTCTATCACTTATATTGAAATTGAAAATTACATCGCTTTTGTAAATGATTTTTAGAAGTGATTATTAAAATAATAGTATGATTTAGAAGTTTTATAAAAATAATTTGATTAGAAAATACAGTATTATTGCACAGAAATCTAATTTTAAGTTGAGATGAGATAAATTGAATATAAAGATAAGTTGAAGTTGAATACTCAAAAAGTTAGCAAACACCAATGAGGTATATATATTTTTACAGCTTATAAATGAAAATATAATTCTGAAATCAACAATAATAAATTAAATCTTATTTTTAATTTAGTAAAACAAATCTCACAATACTCCTTCTATAAACAATTCGATATTGATTTAAATAAATAATGAAATTAATGAACTTGAGATATAATTACTGGTAAACAAAAAGCAATCATATCCAATTTTAGATCAAAATATGTTTCTAAGTAAAAATGGCCTGTAGTATATATATGTACACAAAATTTTAATATTTTCATTTTTTTTTTTTTTAAGAAATTTTTGATTAATAGTATAAAACTGTTGATCGTCAGATCAGATTTGATCAGATATAAATTTCAGTCCAGTGGATTTTAATAAAAGCCACAGCAAAGCGTGGCCGGGTATACTAGTATATATTATTTTATTGAGAACTGTTGATATCTTAATAAAAGAACACGATTGTCAACGGTTATATTCTTATCAATAAAAGATAATCCTAACATTGAGATTTCCCATAATCTTGTCTAGGTACATATTTCATATTTACTATGCATTTGTTACATAAATATATTTATCATATGCAATAATAAAACTAGCGGTGTACGAGGTCTGTTCAAAAAGTACCCGGAATTTTCGTTTTTTCAAAAAAATATTTATTTATTCGTCTACATTAATGTGGTCCCCTTCAAAGTAGTCCCCCCCAGATATAATACACTTATGCCAGCCTTTTTTCCAATTTTCGAAGCACCCTTGATATTCACTTTTTGATATGTCCTTGAGCACTCTCAGCGATTCGGCCTTTATTTCTTAAATCGAGGAAAACCGCCGTCCTT